CCCCAAAACCCCAAAACCCCAAAACCCCAAAACCCCATGACAAATATATAGATTGTAATTCAATTATTAGAAATGGACAAAGAGTAAGTAACTAGATACACAGATTTACATAAATTTTAACGGCCATCAGGCAATCTTGCTTGAAGCCTGTCAGTACTCAGACACTGTCAACTATATTTCCTGGGATCAGAGCTACTCTTGGAGATTTATATGTCCCAAGCGAGCTTACATATTTCTGAACTAACCTTATTATAGAAAAATAGTACAAAATCTAAAGTCGATGGTGTATAGCTGGTTTACATCCGCGAACCTTGAAGAAGCAGGTGACCAGAGAAGATTCGAGGCTGTCTTCAGAGAAAAACAGCTCAATTACATTCGAGAAAACTGGAGTATCCTGACGTTCTATCTCAGAATCTTGATCTTAGTCGTGACGGTCTTGCTAGGCATCAACAGTGAGAATTCGTCAATCCTTGTAGTAAGGACCATCACTCTGATCCTGCTGATATTCTTCCTATGAGGCTTCCAAAAGGCAGTCGAGAAATTCGATTGGGCTGCCAAGTACTCAGGTCCGATCTTCACAATGATCATTGTGGTTGCATTCACTGAAATCAATGCTTATCTGTGTCAATATAGGTAAGCTTCATAACAAGTTGACTTCTTTTTTTACTAAATTTAAAGCATATTAAATATTTTCGTAATTTTTCAAACCTACTGGTTGTCGCATGACCAGCTTTATAAGCAACTAGACTATCGGACTGCTCTTGGCTCTGAATTATTGGTGATAATTAGTTATTTTCCCTGTGAGCCAGCTTCTTGATAACAGAGGTTTAGAAATATATAAAAGATTTTAGGTATGAGTTAGAATTTTACATGGAAAAATTCAAAAATTTATAGATTCTTCGAAATACTTCTATTATTTTCCTAATACAGTTTAGACTCTATGAAGGATTCATGACCCAAATCTCATTAAGCTTCCTGATGTCAGTGTGCATGTCCACAAATTGGGTGTTGGCGACTCTCCTGTTATTCATATCCTACCTTTATTATATAATCAGGATGATGACTACATTCGATAGCATTCCGCACGAACTGGTGATTGCTCTAGCTGAAACCTGCATTTTTTACGCCTTAGGGACTTACCTCAACTCCCGAACTCTATTGAGAGAAGTTTCAGCAAACTGCAAGGCTGAGGAATCATCCAAAGAGTTCAAGCAAGTCTTGAAATGCTTACCAGATGGAGCCTTGCTTGTAGATAACAGCAGTAAACTCTGACTGAAGTTCTACAATCCCCAACTTGTAGAGGATTTCGACATTAATCTGTTTTGCGAACCTGAGAGCGAGTTTCCTGACTTCGCTGACCTTAAAGATCAAATCAACCGTGAATTGTATAACGCACTTCAGATAATCAAAGAAGCATCTGAAGCTAAAAAGCTAGTACCTAGCGACATCCAGTGCCCTTTGAGGAAGTTCAAGATTATCCAAAAATGCAACATCGCGAATCAGAATTCCTTCAAAGATACTAATTCTCAAAATGTTGGCTATAAAAACGACTACACCAAATTTTTTAAGCGTGGAGGAAACCCTTTGATGAAGAAGACCCAAAAACTTGGTAATCCTGATGATATAAGACTGAATGAGTTCCTTGGCCTTGAAAGACATATGCTCGAAAAGCAAAAAGAGAACGAAAGAGAGGGCAAAATCTCTGTATACTTCGATGACTTCAACTTCATCAAAGGTATCGAGATGATCAAGCGAGAGTTCATTGTAAAAACTCGTAAAGTTCATGCAAATGACCCTAACGATCCTTATACTTCAATGTATCTTCATATTCTGAGTGATACTACCCAGATTACTCAACTTGAGGAACAAAAGGCCCAGAACAAGTACCAGAGGCAGATGCTGGCCAATGTTTCTCATGAGTTCAGGACCCCTCTAAACGCAATGACATTGAGTCTGACCCTCTTAAGGGGACTGATCCGTGGGCATCCAGCGAAGTTCCTCAGAATAGCTTCATCAAGCTGAGATATTTTAAGATCCCTCGTTGAAGACATCCTTGACCATGCCAAGATCGAGTCAGGGGTGTTTGAGATTCACGAACAAGTGTTCAAGTTCAACACACTCATGGACGAAGTCAGAGACATCTTTGAGCTTCAGACTCTGAACAAAGGGATAGATCTCACCTTCTACATTGCACCAGAAGTTGACAACTTGTTCATGAAGACGGATAAACAGAGAATAAAGCAGGTTTTGCTCAACCTGATCTCGAACTCCTTGAAGTTCACAGACAGAGGAGCAATCCAGATCAGCTTGATAAAGCTCGAACCAAGTGATGAGCGGCCCATCGGTAAGCCTTTCACTTCTTGAGTCCTGGGCTTGAATTAGTTCACCCAGTTTTACTTAGTTCAGAAAGTTTTACCAATTTCAAGGCTAGACAGCCTCGAACTAACAAATTATAGGAAGAGAAGAGAGAAAGGAAGAATCCAAAGATTGTCAAAGACTCATCCTTCAGCATGGACCTGCGAGGTTAGATTCCCACCTGTCAGAAGAGAGTGTCAATCAGGAATATTCCTGTAGACCTCATTTGCCAAGAGTCAGCAAATATTCAACGTACCCTGACAATAGAGGTAACTATTGTCTCTAACTTTGTCTAGCTGGCCTCTTAAATGGTAGATCAAGTTCAAACTCAGACCGTGAGGAGAAACCTCTATTTGAGCCATATAGAAAGCTAAAGCTTAAATTAACAGTTTCAGACACAGGTATTGGGATCCCGAAGAGCGACCAATCCTCACTTTTTAAGCTATTTGGCAAGACTAGCTCCAATCATAACCGTAACAAGACCGGTTGTGGCCTTGGCCTTACTATCTGTAGGAAGATCCTTCAGAAGTTGGGAGGAGATATAACCCTTGAGTCTGAAGAAGGACGAGGAACAAAGGTAACTTCTATATTCAAATGCATGTATTAAAGGTTCTAAATAACCATTATTGATATTAAAACATTTATTTTATTTCCTTGGGGTTTTGGGGTTTTGGGGTTTTGGGGTTTTGGGGTTTTGGGG